ATATATATATACATATATATATACATTTATATATATATACCTACATACATACATACATACACCAAATATAAATATATATATATATATATATGCGTAGAAGACTGCTAATACACAGCACCTGTCCTTGGGGTTCACAGTGGTGGGGCAGCTGAGGGGGCCCACAGCTTTGTTGCTGCTTCTTTGTGCTGCTGCATGCATAAAAATAATCTTAATTAAAAATAAAAAACAAATTGAGAATATAATATTATTTTAAAAGGAAAAAAATAGTATTTTTATCGAAGAAGGAGGGCCCCGGGGGGCCCCCATAGATAGGGGGCCCCCAGGGGGCCCCCCTTAGAAGGAGGCCTCCTGCCCCACAGCAGTGTTAAGTTGAAGGTTTGTTTGTATTTCTTTTTATTTTCTAATTATTGTTTTTAAGTGCAATTCTTTTATTCTTTTCTCCTTCTCAACTTGGTGGGAGGGTTTAGGGTTTAGCGCCGGGGGATCGGGATTAGCCGCGCCAGGGCTTACGGTCTAGGGTTTAGGGTTTAGGGTTTAGGTTTTAGGATCTAGGGTTTAGGGTTTAGGGTTTAGGGCTTGAAGGCCTCAGGGCCAGCCTGGGGGCTGTCGGCTGTTGGTTTTATATATAACCCCAAGTATTCAACTACGCCCGAAGTGAGTTTGCAGGCTCCAAACCCTAAACCCTAAACCCTAAACCCTAAACCCTAAGTGCACCGCACTACAGCCCCTCGGTTCACTCCTCTTTGCTAAACCCTCTCCTCTTATCCTTTCCCTCAAACCCTTGCCTTCCTCCCTTTCTTCTGTTTGCTATCTTCACATGCAGAAGTGAGTTTGTTTGTTGTCTCTGTTTGTTTGTTTGTTTGTTTGTTCTTTTGTTTCTTTGTTTCTTTTTATCTTTCTCCCTGTCTCTAAACCCTTCTTGAGGGGCCCCCCATTGAGGGGGGGGCCCCCTTGGGCCCCCCATAGAAGGAGGTTTCCTGGTCCGAAGCAGTGTCTCGCGGGCTGTCTATAGCGATGTATGATTAGGGTTTAGGGTTTAGGGTTTAGGGTTTGTGGTTGTATGCAGGATGAAGAAGAAGGTGGATAGCCGCGTTCGCGCATTGTTAGAGAGCGGTGTGTCTCTAAAGGAGAGGAGTTTATTGGTGTTGGTTGGGGATCGATCCCGGGAGCAGATCCCGAATTTGCATTATTTATTGAGTGCTGTGGGGCCCCACACGAAGCCCTCAGTACTATGGTGTTATAAGAAAGAATTAGGGTTTTCTTCACACCGTAAGAAGAGACAAAAACAGCTGCAACATAAAATTAAACAGGGCCTCTATAACCCTAATCTAGACAACCCATTTGAGTTGTTTATATGCAGCACAAACATTCGTTATCTGCATTATAAAGACACGCAACAAGCTCTAGGAAAGACATATGATGTATGTATACTGCAAGACTTTGAAGCCTTAACACCAAATATACTGTGTAGAGTTATAGAGACTGCAGCAGGAGGGGGCCTCGTGCTGCTGCTGCTGCAGTCTGTAGAGTCTCTAACGCAGCTGTACAGCCTAACGATGGATATACACTCGAGATATAAAACTGAGGCTTTCTCGTCTATTGACCCTCGCTTTAATATGCGCATGCTGCTGTCCCTTGTCTCTTGTCGCCGCTGTCTTGTTCTTGATGATGAGTTAAATATTCTTCCTATTAATGGGGGGGAGGCGTTGGAGACAGCATCCCCAGCGCTGCAGCAGCAGCAACAGCAGCGGCTGCAGCAGCAGCAGCAGCAGCAGGAACTGCTGCAGCAAATCATTAGTAAAGTTCAGCATGCACCCCCTCTTGATGCCTTAGTTCGTCTCTGTGTCTCCCCTGATCAAGCAACTGCTGTTATTGCTTTTCTAGATTGTCTCTGCAGCTGCAGCAGCTTCCGCAGCAAGCTGCAGGAAGAGGCCTCGCAGCAGCAACCACCTGCAGCAGCAGCACCAGCAGCAGGTGTGGGGACTGCAGCAGCAACGGGAGCCTTTCAAACCGTCGCCCTAACAGCAGCAAGAGGAAGAGGCAAATCTGCTGCACTTGGGCTTGCTGTTGCTGCTGCTGTTGCTTTGGGTGTCTCCTCAACTTTTGTCTGCGCCCCATCTGCGGAGAATGTACAAACCCTCTTCGAGTTTGTTCAAAAGGTAAACCCTAAACCCCAACCACTCCCCCAGGGTTTAGGGTTTAGGGCTGAGAAGGGTTCAGGGTTTAGGCTTCAGGTCTTAGGCCTAGGGTTCAGGGTCTAAGGTTTAGGGTCTAGGGTTTAGGGCTTTCGCTACGTTGGGGTGTACGTAAGTTGCTGCTTTCACTTGAGGTGTATGTGCGTTGCTGCTGCTGCTGCTGCCGTTGCTGCTGCTGCTGCTGCAGGGTTTAGTTGCGATGGGTTTACGAGAGCAAGCAGACTTTCAGGTGTCTGTGGAGACAGTGGAGACAGGGCGAAGAGGTGTGCGGGGTGCAGATATCTCTGGGGCTTCTTCTACGGGTTTATATGAGCAGCAAGAAGTTAAGGTTGTCTCTCAAATTGAGGTGTACAGACACCACAAACAACGCATTAAATTCATCTTCCCCCATGAACATCAAACCCTCATCAATGCAGATCTACTTATCATCGATGAGGCTGCAAGCATTCCCCTTCCAGTCGTCAGAAAACTACTAGGCAAGATGCGCACAGGGTTTAGGGTTTAGGGTTTAGGGTTTGGCGTCTGGGGTTTAGGGTTTAGGGTTTGGTGTGTAGAGTTTGGGGTTTAGGGTTTAGGGTTTTGGGTATAGAGTTTCAGGGAATAGGTTCGAGGGTTTAGGGTTTGTATTAAGGCTTTGTTTTTGTTAATAGGGTTTGAAGCAAATAGTTTTGCTGTGCGATAGGGCTTCATATAATGTTGCTGATGAGTGTTGACTAGGCTAGTGTTTAGGGTTTAGGGTTTAGGGTTTAGGGTTTATGGTGTGTGTGTGTGTAGGGCCTTATACGGTGTTGCTTTCATCGACTTGCAACGGATATGAAGGGACAGGGCGCTCTTTGTCTTTAAAATTGTTAGGGGAGTTAAGAAGAGGGTTTAAGGGTCCTGTGAATGGCGTTGGAGGGGAGAAGGGGCTGAGGAGACAGTTAAAAGAATTGTCTCTAGAGACACCCATTCGTTATGCTGCAGGAGATGCTGTAGAGGCGTGGCTGAACCAACTCCTCTGTCTCGATTGCACAGAAGCTCCTGCTTTAAACCCTCAGGTTATTCTCTCTCTCTCTCTCTGTCTCCTTTGCTGTCTCTCCTTGTCTTATGCTGTCTCTGTCTGTC